TGCTGTATAAGAAAATAAACTCACATCCCTGAATTTCACATTAAATTTCTCTTGCAACTTTCTGCCATTGTCAAAACCTTACATATTCAATTGAATCTCATAAGAACTGTGATGGAATTAGCCAAGAAGCTTGTTTTCATTATTTCACATTATTTCACTCATTTTACTTTGTCACTTCATTGTCTCAGTAATTGTTCTCCAGTTCATTTAAACTAATCAACTATTTGTTATGGTCATTCTTAGTTTAGTTTCATTTTCTCTTAGGAATCCCTTGGTTCTTTAAGAGATTGGCTTGAGCTAAATGTCTGGAATAGAAAGAATGGAGATTTGTTTATTAGTGTTTTTGTTGTTATTAGGGGTATATGGCAATATTGTCATTGTTCATTTTCAGCAGGTCCTTCTGTAGAGCCCCTGCAGTATCAGAACTGTAGAATTCCCTGGCGCTTTTCCTCTTTTAGCTGGCAGTGCAGCAACCACCTACAGCACAGATACTTTTATATCTCATCCTCAAACAAATGAAAAGCATCACGGAAATCCTCCCTCCACTGTTTTGTGTTATCCTAAATCTAGGAAAAAACTGTCTCTCAAAACTGCAATGAAGATTTGCTCTTGAAAAATCTTCAGATAGGAAAATGCAGCCAGCACCCATTTCTGTCTGGTTATCTGAATACCCAGGAGAGTTCTTTTCTTCTGGTTGAGAAGTTCTGTAGGTGCTCCAGAAAAAGTTACAGACAGTTTGTTGCTTAGTCTGGGAAGAAATTCATGTTAAATTAAGGGGGTTTCAGTGAAATTTGTGTCTTAGCATGTTCAGACATATTAATAATAACAGATTTTTTTTAAGGGTTCCTGCAGTTTTTAAGGCTTAAGATGAACTGGAAGAGAGCATTTACAGATTTTGATGCTACCATATGTGCAAGTTTGGGTTTTTTTCCCTTTCACCTTGTCCTGTTATAAGTTGTCTATCTGAATGCCTCCCTGATATATCTCAAAATACAGCATGAATTATTTCTTTCTGAATGAAAATGGTACCTGTGTTTTTGCGTAGTTTTTAGATTAATCTTCCATGGTAGTTTAGTTTATTAAAATAAGAAAAGTTTTGAAAAGCTCTGATTATCTCAAATAGACCTTCTTTGTCAAAGGGAGGTATTCCTTGTAAAACAATAAGCTTTAAGATTTATCAGTCAACTGCATTTAGAGGATTTTAGTTCTAATCAGTACCCAGTATCATCAGGTTGCTTTTGAACCAGAGACAAGACAAATGAAATTTTGTATTTTCAACAGAATATTGGCAAAAACATAAATATGAAGTTGTCACTTGACATCACACTAAGCTTATTTGTCTCACCACCACTTCACGCAGACTCTTTGCTGAGGAGAAAGTATCCAGAGATTATGTTTCTCTGGAAGGGCAATGCAGGCAGTCTCTTCTATAAATATTTTAAAAAAAGATCAAGTTAATGTCACTGCAGGTTTTACTGGTGTGCCTGCTGGGTCATGGTTCTGGGGGCCTGTGGCAGAACTCAGGTGGTGAAACAGCTCTGCCTGGAAAGGGACCTTACCCAGCATTACCTCAGGGCAGCATCAGAGCCTTTGTTGGGGAATGGAAATAGCAATTGATATCATCTTAATCATTCAAAAAACCTTGCTAAGGTATTTTTGTAGAGTTCAAGCTGAATTTCAGTGCACTTGTTCATAAACAATCACTGTTTATGGTAAGATCATAATCGATCACATGGTGAGCTTTTTGATTAAAATAATAAAACTATAATATTACACCATTTAAAGGTCAAAGCTTAGACAAAGGTAGAGGGTGCATCTCAGGCACTACCACTTAAAAGCCACATCAGCCCAGAGAGTAGGATGCTATTGACTGTTAGGGTGGATATAACATATACATATATATGTGCAATCACTCTCACAAACTGTTGTCTTTAAAACAGAATGGGTTTGACTATACTGATTATACAAGAAGTATATTTTTGTCATTTATTTGAGAGTCCAACATTACTCTACATGCAATTCATGAAAGTGAAAATACTGAGAACTTCAGAGTTCTCTTCAAGCAAATTTCAGTACTATGTACTATAAACCAGTACATCCTCTGAATAGGACAAAACAGTTAAACTCTTGTTTCAAATTGTAGATCCCACTATTTTCATCACTCTCTAATCTTATATTCTCCTTTAAATTATAAATTGCCCAAGTGGCTTGGACTTAGCCAAGGGAACTTTTGGAATGTATTTAATATGATTTTATTAGCTTTACTGGAGGCTCAGGATATGATTTGGTGTGTTGGAGACATATCTGTATTCAGTGATGCCTCCCTCAGGATTCATTCTCTTTTAATGAATAGTGAGAGACAGTAGCAGTGTGTGTGATGTATGTTTTAGCATGGTTGATGAGTTTCTGCAGTTAAAAAGCACATGTCATTGTTATTTACTCTGTGTTATTTACACTGCAAGCCTCTCAAAGGCCCTAGCCCCATTGCACTTGGCAATGCCAAAATACAGATAGCATCTGTATGATTTAGCTGCTTTCCCTGAGAATAAGAGGCAAAGGCAAGACTTGAAAAAAGGAGTCAGGCTCCTTCCTCCATGAGCTTTCCTAAAGCTGTGAGCTGAACTCTCCCAGAGCTGATTCCATTGCTGCTGTGACTGGTACCAGTTCTGGAAATCACAGTGTGTTCTGAGAGGCTCAGCTGTGTAGGACCTGCCTTTTCTTCTCCTTTGCTATGGGTGAAAAGACAGATCAGCCCCTAAATTATAATACCATGTTGCATCACCTGAAAGACCGGGGACAGAAAAAGGGGAAGAAAAAAAAAAACCCAACCACTAAAAGTGCCCACAAAAAAGGCAGTAATTCTTATGCAGATACAGCTCCAGGGAGGTGACTACCCGAGGGTCAGAGCAGAGTGAAAAGGTCAGGGATGAACTGATGTGTGTAACCTCACTCACTGTGCTTTGGTTCATTGATGAGTTACAGAGCAAACAGGCTTTTTCAGTTGTTACTCTGAATGTCTGTGCACTTGTTTTATAGCAACACTCCTATTTTTATCCTTTCCATCCGCTCCAGTACCCAGAGATCTGCAGTACTTACTCCGTGTGCCAGTACTTTCTCACTTCACTGATAAACTTGGATATCCTTTCCATGATGAAGTAGACTGTTTCATGGATAACATTTTTCTTGAAGCACAGTATATTTTCCCTACCTTCAAGGTTTCAATTAATTGGCGTGCATCTTTAACTATGACTCCTAAAATAGTAATAACTTGCATTTCACAGCCAAAACCTCAATATTCCAAATCTTTATTGACATTTGGTGATATTTGCTTGCTTATTAAAAATGCAAGAAAACAATTGACATTTCTTATCTTTTGGCTGTACACTTCTAGATAAGTGCAAACAGTTTAATCTTTGCTTCCTGTAACAAGGTATTGGATTCTGGCAAAACTATTAATTATAGAAGTTTAAGCAACTTTTTCCAATAATTTTTTTTTTTTGCTATAGCAGATTTTTTTTTAACTTTTAAACCAAAAAATGCCCACTAAGAAACCTTCCTCAAAAAAATCCAAACAAGCCCAAACCCCAAACATTAAATAAGGCAGGTAGAAATGCAAGCTCATGTATACAGCCACAGATATAGGGCTGGAAATGTACTTTAAGCTGACATTGGCTACAGTTAGTTCATTTGCATTCACTTGAATGTGCCCTCAGACCTTTGGACTGTGTGTAATAAAATGTACCTGTGCCATGCACAACACTGAGAGATTAATGCAGTCAGTGTCCTAATAATTGGCTTGCCCCACTGAATATTTTGGAGGTGTCTCTTTCATTGTCAAGAATTGATTCCAGTAATCATAACCTACCAGTTGGCATGTCAAAGACACAATCAAACCTAGCATTTACGCTATTACACCACTGACACAACGCGCTCATTGTCCTACAAAAGCTCAGCCATCATCTTGATTATCAATACTGTTATTTTTTTTTAGTTAAGAGATTGATTCCTTTAACATTGCAGAGTGGAAGAAATAAACTTCTTGCAGATCAATAACATAGCAGGCTTTCTTTTCTTGCCTCAGACAATCCTGATAAAAGCAGTTTTAGATTGCTTATCTTACTGAGTCAACTGCTAAGGTAGAAACAGCAGATACCTCTGTATTTAAAAAATGTTCTCCAAGTTTGGTCTTTTAATTTTAGGGTTTTTTCCAGTGTCATTTGGGCTGTCTGCCTTGTCATTAAACTGCCTTAAAATTCTCCAGTAAGCATCAGTTTGGCCGTTAAATTCTGACTGCTGTAAATTTTCTGTGTTGTGTTGACATTACATTCCAGTAGTTTAAAAAGCAGCATCGAAACACCCCGGGTTCACAGTTCAAATTAATTTGAAAGTTGGATGGTGCACTGAATGCTATTAATGGAAAATTGATCCTGAGAGATAAAGCTCATTACCTAGGAATGCATAACTGGAGTATTACCTCAGCATAGGTCTCTCTGTGTCCTCTATAGGAGCAAAGTTACCAAACGTACAAGGAATTTTTATTTATATATTTTCTCCAGAAGGATTTTTAGAGGACACTGCAGTGGACTTGTATGCAAACTGTTAAAGAGTTTGAAGGAGGAAAAGAAAATCCATCCAGAATTTTCTCCAAGTATGAACTCATTGAATAAACTCTTGAGTAAAGACTTGAGTGAACAGCCAGTGTGGGGCTTCACTGGTGCACAGCTGCTCCTCACCTGGGTAGCAAACATCTACTGGAAGAATTGGCACTGCTTTGAGGAGAGAGCATCACTTTGAAATCTCGGGATAACTACATAGTCCTGGGGTTTAAGTTGTGTGAGCAAGTTGCTTTTCTGCTGTGCGTCTCTGTCAGCATTTCTACCGCGTGTGATTCTGTGTGTAGTATCTTAACCTCACCCTAGAAACGACTCAAAAGTCCTTTTGTGTTTGGTCTGTCACTCAGAAGATGTGTCATTGACTGCTATTACCTCTCCAGGTGTCCAATCAGAACCAGTGTCTAACTGGAGTTGCATTGTCTGGAATGCTCCGGATAACAAAGGAGGAACCATTACAGCCTATTACATGTGAAAGGAACTTTCCCCGGACTCGGTAAGTGGCGCAATTTGTTTAAGAACTCCACCAAAGTGCCCTAAGTGGGTTCTTAGTGCTGCCCTGTAGACTCTGGATGGCTCCCCTGCTGTGTCCCTTTGTTTAATCCTCACTCAGGAAATCTCAAATATTCATTTCAGGTAGGTTATTAGCATCATTTCTGTCTGCTGCAATCCTTTATCCCTGCTTTACCGAAAAAGTGAAGCATCATCCTACCGGAGAAGGGTCTATGTGGGGTTATTTAATTTTAAATTTACACTAACTTTTTAAAAGAAGTGGTCTTTATACCTGGGAATTAAAACTTACTACTGCTGGTAAAAATAATAGCACCTCTAGTGGTGTTATGAAAGTCTAGTATATGTAGTGATAATTCCCTGCTGTAAACTGATGTACAGCAACCAGTGTACCTCTCATCTCTTTGACATAAAAATCCAGTTGATGAAATTCAAAAACAGAAGACAGGAATTGCAGGGAGCTGTTCACCAGAGGTCCAAACTCTGCAAACAGCATGCCCTAGGCACTCATGAAAAATGTAGCCTCTCTGCTTCTTTTTGCCCAGTAGGGTCATGTCCAAATCCTTTCACCTTTAAATCACGTTGCCTCTTGCTTCACTATTGCATCTTGCCCTTGTTTCTAGTTTGTTGCTGCCTTAGAGGCTTCTGTTGTTCCAGAAACTAGAGAGGAACATTTATTAAGAGAGATTTATTTGTAAAGGTCAGACTCTACATTACCTCAGCATTAGGTTCAGTCTGCAGAATAATGATTTCATTTAAAACACTGAGGCAGCTCAGACTTATCGCTTATTTTAAAATATGACTTTGAGGAATCAAGCATATGTCAAAGTGTGGTAAATAAGTGAATCTCTGTTCAGCTCAGGGTTTCTGAAGCACTGGAAGCTTTAACGTTTTGGTCATTCATTTTTATTAGGTTTTGATTTTAATAAAAAATCCTGCATATTGTTGATATTTAAAAAAACAGAGCACATCTCCTCAAAATACTTTCTTCTCCAAATTAGAATTCAGGTGGCTTCACATTTCCTGTTCTAGCAAGAGAAAGAATTATAAACATGCAGTGGGCAGAAAATTACTCATTTCTTGTAACTATGGATATTAGTCTAATCATATATGAATAATACCAGCAAGCTTTGTTCATGTCAGTCTGTAAATCAGTCTCTGTTGTTTTGTGTTACAATTCATTAGTGCTTCCCCATAAACTCCATCATAGCTGCTTTTTAATACTTGCACTATGACAATAATAGAGATGTAAAAATCTAGATTTTGGAGTCAGTGATTTAAATTTTGGCTTCATTTTCAAGGACCTCGTTCTCTCTGTTACAGGGCTTTGTGCCTGCGTGATTTAGTAAAGTACAGGCTTCTGTGTTTAACAACGCAGCACACAGGAACTGTGGCCCTGTGTAGTAGCATCTGGAAATTCACAGATATATATATTTACAGATATATACCAGCCACATTATGAACACAGATCAAAAAGAGATACAGATATCTCCTTAAAGTATTTGAGGATAGGACAGATTTAGATGTACAGGGATGTAAGAAACAGTACTAGCTGGCTGTGTTCTTATAAAACAAGTGATTTAGGCATTGTTAAAACTTTTGTGGGTGTCATAGTAGGGTTTAAAGAGCTGTTTGAAGATGTACAATGGGATAATTTCATGGATGTTTATGGGACTTCTTCCCAGTGTCTGAGCAGTTGGGGAGCAAGTGCTTGTTTGAAATGTAACAAGCAGATAAAAGATGCTGAGGTCGTGGTCTAACCTGAGGTGGGGATTGACCTGCTACAACTCAGGGAGAGCCAACAAGATAGACCAAGGCTCAGGAGGGCTTTGAATATGGAGATGAGCAGCTCATGTTTGAGGTGACTGTTTTCTTACACACCCTTTCTTCAGGCACTTCCTCCTTCTCCTCTGCCAAGTCAGGAAAATTGTGTTTTCAGAGACCAGTATGAAAGTTTGCAAAAGTACCTGTGTACTTGGTATGTCATACAGAAAAGTTCTGTAAGGGCTTGGCCTGCTCTGGATGTGAGGTACTAGAGATAGGCTGGATGCCTAAAGAGCACCCTGAGCCCCAAGAAGAGGATGGTAAAGGAAGACTGAGAAGATTGTAGATACTTTGTTTGTTTTATGAGAGATGTAAAGGGAAGACGTTCGGGAAGAATGAGGGTTTGAGAGCTCTCTCCTAGTTCTGGAGGTAATTCTATGGAAGTAGCATCATGCAGATCCATAAGGAGAGGTCACAGATGCGACTTGCTCTTTTAGTCTGAGCAAAGATAGGTCTGGAGTAGAGCAAAGATTGATGAGACATCATAGATAAAGCCTGAGTTGTGTTTGTGGAGGAAACATCTGAGAAGCCTGTAGGACAGAAGAAGGGCAGAATCCTGAGAGATTCTTGCTCAACGTTGTAGAAAGTGGGTAACGATGTGAAAGATTAGAGATATGATTAATAAATATCACAAGAGGTGAATCAGGAAACTGAAAGACAGAATTTCAGATAGAACAGTGCTTTGTGTATTTGGTTTTACTCCTCTTTCTCCTTTTTTGTCATCTCTTATTTTACACACTGTTGTCAGCTCTTTTTCAGCATTTACTTCTTGCTTAAAACTGTATCTGCTGCCTGTTTTGTCATCTCTTACTTCACTCGAGATACATTGTTGCCCAGTTTTCCTTTTTCCTTGTATTTTTTGTCACCCTGCATCCCTTCTTTAATCCCTTCTTAGCCTGTGTTTCTTCAACAGCAAATCCAAGTGTTTTTACATGCTTTTCAGCATGCTGGCTTCCTTTGTCTACCCATGTGTATTGGCTTCCTTCCTCTTTGGCAATGTCTGTATTTGATTTAACATCTCAAAGGCTTCTTTCTTGCTGTCTTGTGAGCATGGAGCATCCTTCCAAGGCTGATGGATAACTTAATCTCTTCTTTTTCTATTGCTATTACACATAAGCAGCACAGAAATTACCAACAGAAAATAGCTTTCTGCCTTCATTTTTGTAGCAATTATGGCATGCTGGAGATGGGATGTCTCCTTCCATTCCATCTCAGGATACTAAAATGAAAGCTAAATGACAGTTGTTTAACTATTCAAATTTCTGCATCAAAAACTTGCTTCCTTACCACCTTAAACCACATATTCTCATTTGTGTCTGTTCAAAGTGAATGAAAAATCATAAGGTAAAGGAACTATTCAGGATTTAAGTTGATGGAAAAATTGGGCTTGAAACTTAAAAAAAAAAAAGTCAGCTGCCCCTACCATTAACACTTAACAGAGTGTTATTTTGTCAGTGACTGAGGGAAACATTTTAACGAAAAAAAAATCTAGTAGATGCACATAGTATGGGAATGATAACTGAAAATTGCTTGTTTTGAGACTGACCCTTGAAACCTCAATAAAGACAGTAGTGGGTTTTCTAGTCCAGCTGGGTTTTATTATCCCTCCCACCACAGTGGTGTTTCAGCATCTGCTTTGCTTAAATCCTGCAAAATGATTTACAGAGATTAGATAGACTTCAGCACACCTGCATTATTTACAGTATTTTATGCTTAGATCAAGTCTAACACAACAAGTGACTTGCCAAAAGCAACATAGAGATCAATGACTTACCTTAAAAGTAAAATTCCGGAAGCCTCATTGCCGGCTTCCTCTCTCCCCACTAGACACTAGTTACTCCATAAATATGTGATCAAAAGGTTGTTCTAATGCATGCCTCTATTTAAAATAAATAAAGAAAGAAATAAAACAACCTGGAAAAAAAAAAAATCAATCTCCTTGGAACCACTTAAAAACATTGAGGTGACAAGTTTTTAATTGTAAGTCCAAATGAATGAGGGTGTTACTTGCCATGTGTGTCATATCTGTTTTCATTCCTGAAACATGACCTGTCACTAGTAAAATGTTAAGTAGACAGTACAGTGAAGTCACTTGTTATTTATGGGAACCTGTGAACTCTGATTAAGGAGGAAAACTGTTGTCCAAACTGGCACTAAAATGAACATGAAGCCTGACAGCCTGTTTTGTGCTGCCACCTACCATTTAACCATGACACGCCTGAGCACTGCCTGGGTTTAGTGTCTCCCTTCCTTTCCTCCTCTCCATATAGTGCCTCTCTATAAGCAAGAAAACCGACCTAGGATCAAAAAATAAGGGGCACATGTGCTTATGAAAGATTTTTCTATCAGAAAATTCAATCAAGGTTCTTTTAATCAAAACATTAATCTCTCAGACACGTATCACAAAACTTAGAGCAAACCAGGCTGTTGTTGCTTCTCTTCAGTCGTTCTGAAAATGATTCTGAAAAGCTATCAGCAAAAGGTCGTTGTGAGGAGAGGCAGCACAGATGCTGAGAAGCAGTTCTAAACATGATGAACTTGATATTTTTTGTTTATCTCCCTCTGTGAGTTCAGTCCTTTGGGGAGGCAATGAAATAGATTTGGGCAGTGCCAATCAATAAAGTGAAAATCGCCGTAAAGGGTAGGCCACACATGCAATAATGAGGGATTATTCTCTTGCACTCAAAAATAGGTCCAAGTTTGTTGGGGAAAAAAAAAAGTACTGGATTCCTTCTTGTTTGTGACAGAGAAGTTTACTGTAGATTGCAGGAATCTTGTACTGGACCATGTTGGCAATGAAGTCACACAGATACCAAGCTTATTTTGCTGCTGAATCCAAGCAGAAAAGACAGTGATATCTGCTCTCAGTATTTTGAGGCCATTATTTGGCCTTTAATTACAGTCAACACCTTCAACAGGGTCTAAAACATTTATATCAGCTCAGGGCACTAGTCTGTTCACTAGAATGTCTGCAGCCATTCCATAATGTATTGACCTTCACAGTTGCAAGGTCCAGTGTAAGCAAGGATGGGATCCCCCCTCTCAGCTTGTTTTTTTCTCATGCAATTTTTTTTCTTACATAATGTGTGATTCTCTTCCTCCTTTGCCATAATTTTTCATTTAATGATGATTTTTTCAATGAAGACTTTTCCAAACCTTTTTCTTTCCAAGCTGAAATTGTGTTGGCATAACAAAGTGATCTCCTGTCAGTGACTTTATCCAGGATACATCTGCTCTCCTCGTTCCTGGGCATGGTGTTAATTAGATTTTTCTGAAGCCTATCTTGCAGCAGATGTTTTAGGCTTACCCTTTCCCATGTATCCAAGAGGTCAGACAAACTTTCCTAGGAACAGAGTTGTTTGTTGTATCTTGGAGATGCAGTTTGTTGTCTTTTTAAGGGTTTCACTTTTCACAGATCAATGAAGCACTGTCCCAAATTTAATTGCAACATCAAGCCATTCATCTCCATCCATTAATAATATAGTGCAGTGATATTGTAGAGCTCCCAGTGTTTGTTGGGAAGGATATAGATTAGGGTTTTTTTTTCCTTTTCCTGAATAGCAATAAACATCTGGGTGCCATATAGTGTTGATTACAGCCAAGAAATGTAATATCTAGGGCACTCACTGCTGCCTAAGTGAGCATTTCAAATTGTTAACATACTCCCAGGCTTCTGCACGTTGTTTTGAACAGTTTCCCTGTGCTGGGGCCCTGTATTGAGAGTGGTGCAGCGCTGCCCTCCTGCTGTTCTGTTCATGTCACATAGCGAGATGCCAAACTCACCCAAAGACTACAATGTGCAAAAATAAATTGCGACATGATAAAGACAGAGAAAAAAATTCCACTGCTGAGTATAAATAAATTTTAAAAACCTAAGCACCCTGCAATCAGATCCTTGTCCCATCACGTTCCCACCGAAGAAGTAGAAGCAATATAATGTCAGCAAATTAATTATGTTAAGCTGAATAACAAATACTTGAAAATATAAGTCAAGCAACAGTTGTGAACGCAGAGAGCACACACAGCAATGGTTGCCTGAACCCTATTTCCCTAACAACCAGAAAGCATGAATCCATCTGCTTAAACCTAAAACAGAGAAAGAAAATATTCTGGCAAATTAAAATGAAAATGAGAAAAATGGGTAAAATTTATTGTAGAAGCACTTACTGGGATTAGTTCTTGTGATATGAAAGAAAACCAAGGCTTTAAAGCCTGTTTTTTTCAAAGTTTTTTTGAAAACTGTTTGCTTTTCTTTTTTCAGAAGAAGCAGATCTGCATTAACTTCTTCAAGAGCGTAGGAAGAACTTCCTCTTACTCACAGAAAAGGTAAGAAAAGAATTGTTTCTACAATTTTTCTGCCATATTTTTCAGTCCCTCTGAACACAGCTCAATATGTGCTTGCAGTGTGAAGCCTCATGTTCTGACTGAAAATGTCCTGCCTCTGTAGTGGATCTTCTGTCTGTGATTTCAGTCATCCAGATCTGGGGAGCTTTCTCTAATATATTTTGCTAGTTCTGTATTGAGGAATCCAGAAAACAATGTCTCCATGTTACCAGTTTGCCCTGGGACTGGATGATTATTTCCCCCGGCCACTCCCTGGTTTCTTTGCTGCAGTTCAGAAAGCTGAGGGGCAGGTGATGAAGTGGGTGTTGTCTGTCAGGGGTCCCTGCAGACACTTGTGCAGCAGAGCCCTGGGAACTGAAGTGTAAAGGACGTGGAGCATTGGCAGTGACAGCCTCGGCTTTGCTGCTGCACTGACGATTCAGCTGCTTCTTTCCCTCTTTAGTAAAGCAGTACTGGGAGCAGCCTTGTGACAAATTTGTAGGATTAAGGACAGAGGGCAGCCTTCTTCCAGGAGAGAGTTGATTTGCACCGGGCAAAATGTTGCAACTTGGTTCTTTAATATGTAAAAACGTTGCCATGCTTAATAGGTAACAACAGGGTTATTTGCCATTTTCTGCCTTTCTTTGTAAAGTGCCTGAGACAAAGTGGTGCCTTTTTTTCTCCAGAGGAGGCAGTGATGTTGTGGACAATGCCTCAAAAGCACATCTTTCTGGTGCAGCATGTTTTGTTTATAACTTCTGTTTGCTGGAAGAGTACAGAGAAAGAAAAGGAAAGGAATGGGCATCAGAAAGAAAGGGAAAGACAGCAATGAACACCTTTCTATTTATACTTAACAATGTTACAGAATTGCCAGTCTTAACATATTGCTGGGGCATTCTGCTACTGCAGACATTTCTTCTTCTTTTCTTTCATGATAATGAAAATGAAATACTATTTCACCTTGAAAGCTTTACTTCTGCAATGGGATTTCAATCATAGTGCATTTGTCCAGAAACCACCAAACCTTGAGATGAATAAAAGGTTTGACAGCTGCACATCGATAAGCTCTAGTGACCTATTTTCCTGTGCTCCTACCTGTATTATATTGTGTGAGCAGGCTATTCCAAAAGTGTGATTATTGCTACATTTATAATGTGGTCCACCCAGAATCACAAATAGTGGATTAGAAGAAAAATACAGTGTTTGGGGGAGTCTTAAAAAATCAAATTATTAAAAAAAAATCTACTGCCAGATGACTTGCAAGTCTACTCGAACTATTTTAAATTAGCTCAACAAATTATATCTTTAATGGCTCACTCTGTCTTGGAAGAATTGATAAAAATAAAGTTTCCTTTGAACCAACTCTTACACCAAGCCCCTACAGCAGAAAATGCAAATTTAAAAAGTACAGTGTGCAGTATAATTTAGTAGTGTACAGGTTGTCTACAATACGTGCTAAATCTTTTTCATAACTTATTAGTGATACGAAGGTTTTGAATTGTTTCAAAGTACTGGTGTTTCTTTTGGTTTGTTAAAATGTCAGGTTTGATGGCCTTGGTGTCCTCTTGCACAGACACACTGTAATGTTTGCTATAAAATCAAGTGGAAATGATGAAATCCCAGTAGTAAAGCAGCTCCTTGTGAACATCCATGGAGGGGTAATCACCGTGAAACCTACAGGTACTTCTGAAGCTTCTTAGCATAAAAATAGCACATTTGTTTCAGCATCAGTAGTGACACAATTCCTGTCAAAGTGTGATCTCCAGGCACGGGATACTATTTTGCCTGGCACTAAATAAGTTAACAAATAAACAGGAGTAAGTCAGGGCAGATGTTTGGTGAGGTCGGTTTCTGCCAAGCAGTTCAAACTTAGCAAAACTTTAAACATCACTCCACAGTCTTCTGTGAGACAACCCTAAGTATCCACTGAGCATGGCATTGGCTCTGTACAGGAGGAGATGTAAGTTATTGGTGGAGCTGGCTTAGTCACAACTGATGGATTAGCTGTGATGTCCTGGAAGGTTTTCCACTCTTCTCTGACAAACCCAGAGTTATGCCTGGCTGCAACAAATGACCATGTGGAAAAGCCCTTCCTCTGACACTGAAAGAAAAAGGTAGGAACAGTCTTTGCCTGTAGGAGATTGAAAGCTTCCCACTTGCAAGGGTTTAAATAAAGTTACATAATTTGTAAAACACTATCCATTTTAAGAAAAAGACAAAATCCCCATTTTGTGGTTTTTTTTTTTTTTTTTTTTTTTTTTTTTCTGCGTTAAGGACTGTAATGGTAATTACTTCAGGAATCATCACTCACTTCCTAATGGAGGAATAGATAGGTATGTGGTTCCCAACTTCAATTGGTAAAGAAATTCTCAACAAAAAAAGTACAAATGCTGTAGAGGAGGTGCTACAGAAAATTCATGAACAACTGTTGAACAAGTTCTTGTAACAGAGTTTGGAAGTTAGTTGTAGCTTCCTGCCCTTTAGCTGTGACTTCAAAAATCCCTCCCAGACTTAGGGATCATTTTCTTGCATATTCCCTTAGAAATGTTTCTGTCAGTAATGAAATAAATGAAAATGTGTTGTTCTGTGTGGAAATTTTTATGTAATTTACACACAAACACCCCGCCCCAAACAAACAGACAGAATAAGGTAAAACTGTGCCTCAAGAAAAGAGTAAGTTTGTACGTAGGAAGTATAAAAAACTAAGCACTGCAGTCTCACAAAGAAATGCCTCCTTTTGTGGAAGCTATAATAAGAACACAAAGAATATAAACAGTAGGTATTAGATAAGCTGGCTGGTCTTTTGAAGAAATACTTTCTCAATTATTGTAGTACTTGATATTTCGTGAATGCTTCCTGAAACTGTATGTTTTTGAATTTTGTGGAGACCACTAAGTATGAAATATCAAAAGTGACTTCTGCAGAGAAACTCCTTTCAGGGAGGGCATAATACCAGTCTTTGGCAAAGAAAGTTGTCTTTTATGTTTTTTTTCTGAAGCTCAGTGGGGAATTTTGTAAACTGAGATTCACTAGTCCCACTTAGCAGTATTGTTGCAGGAGCTCGGCTTTTCATTCAGTAAAGTTCACGTGCATTTTTCAGTCAGCATAATTCATGTTTTCTTAGAATGCTAGTGACTGACATTTCAAATAGGCAACATATGCAGCTAAACTGTGTGAAAAGTAACCTTATTTGTAAAGTATTGTTTTGTCAGGTTTTGAGGACTATAGGAAGATGTTCTGTGCTTATTCTGTCCTATCCTTACAGTGCATCTGTTACCACAGTATTTGGATCCCCCCAGCAGTGCAGAAGGTGCTGTGTGCTTATTCTCCCATATAGGAATTGTGTTCAGGGGAATGCTTTATTTGGAAAGGACATGTGTGTGAATCTACTAGAGAAGTTGAGGTTGAAACCCCCTCATCTTTACCTGAAGTGGCTTATGTAGGTCCTTAGACCTATGGGATTTATAATCACAGGATTCCCCAAAGCTGACTGTTACATCATCTTCATCATTCAACTTTAACTTCATCTAGCTACATTTTCCTGGAGCCAAAAAACAGGTTTTTCTAGAAGTGTCTCTTCTAGAGAAGCACAGAGCACTTCAAAAGTAGAGTGTCTGTCATTTCCAGAGGAGCTGGGTTCTGATGGAGCACTCCACTGTGCAAATGAATGTATTCCAGTGAAACAAGAAATCTGAATATTTAATTATTAGCATAAACAAGTATTGGGAAAAATCAGGCTACAAACAGGAGAGAAACTGAGTTACTGCAGAGCAGAATTGATTTGGTAAATAAGTTAGACATAGAAGTGGGAAAGCTTTGGTTTGGTTCAAGCTGGTTTGTAGCTGGTTTACAGTTATAATTCAGATATTTATCATAGGAACTCACAATGACCTATTTAGGGAAAATGTTAATGTTTTTAACTGATGATTAAATATTAATGTTTGTAACTGATTAAATCAAATATTTATAGTATAATATCACACAGGGTTGTTACTGCATTTACCATATCCTTTCCTCATTGCAGCTCATTTATACAGAATAGAGGGCTTTTGTGATTTTTAAGACATCTGATGCACTCCTGGTAATAGAAATTAATATTAATTTCCACGTATAAATGTACTTTTGACTTTTTAGCTGGATCTTGTTCACATCTTGTAATGTGCTATTCCAGTTTTCTGTAGTGTAGCTGTACTCATAATTGCTTTCTAAGTGGAAGAACTGATGAATTCTTGCCTCAGCAAACTCTCTGTTCCTGAACACTAGAAACTCAACATACTTTGAAGAAGATGTATCTGTCACGTGTCCTTATATTATTATTACAAAATTTGCTTTTTTTGATTGCTTATTACATTCTGTACCTGTCTCTACTACAGCTTAGGTGTCTCCTTAAAGTACTTGTGCTTATTGGGCTGGGATATTTCAGAGATCAGTTCTCTCTTTAATGATGGTTTTTCAGTTTGGTCTCTCTGTTCACACGTGCAATACAGTGGTGTTGTTTGGGGTGTTAAAGCTCTTCAGCAGAAAGGTGATCCTATAAAGGCTTACACGTGTCTCAGTCTCTTGGCTTGAGACTGTAGGGCTGCTCAGAAAGTGAGGAGATCTGCAGAGCTCGAGGCTTTCAGGAGCACTGCCTAAGTTATTTTCAAGCCATTTGGAATCACAAACCTCACTGAAAATCACACTGCCAAAGAAAAGGGAAGTTATGGATGTTGGGATTTCATCTTGTTATATTCGAAGCTGGGCATATAAACGGACTGTTTGTAAATCTGACCTCTCTTAAAGCAATGGGATTGAAGAGCAATTCCAAGGACTTCTCTAGTGTAGGATGGAGAAGGCAACAGCAGCTCCTCTTTTCCTGTGTTTTTTCAATTGTAGTGTGAGTAAAGGTCCAGCAGAAGATACATGCTCTACCATGCATGCTCTTCTCTGTTTCCTTTAAAATTCAGTGAGAATTAAGTATTATGTCCTTTAGAATTTAATGAGAATTGGGTACTTAATTCTTT